GCCAAGACATTCGACTTACCCGGCTTATATTCAACTTTAAAATTAAATTCAGAGAAGAATCTTAGCCATATCGCCATTTTCGGCGCGAGGTGCGGTGAATTTATAGCGGCCCGCAGTGATGCGTGATCCGTATAAACCACAAAAAGTTCGGTGCCCAAGAGGTGCACACGAAACTTTACAAGGGCATACTTAATTGAAAGTATCTCCTTGTCATGCACAGGGTAATTCAGCTCGGCAGCTTTTAAAAGCCGAGACTGATACGAAATGACACGGCCAACGCCATTGTTATCCATCTGCATGAGCGCGCTGCCGATTGCAAAATTTCTTGCATCGCAGACGACGCTAAAGGGCTATCCGCGTCTGGCAATGCGAAGACCGGTGCCTCTATAAGAGATTGCTTCACTGAAGTGAACGCATCTACTTGCTCCTTTGACCAAGTCCATTCTGTATCCTTTTTAAAAGATCAGACAATGGCTTAGTCTGCTCCGCATAATTCTTGCTGTACTTATGCAAGTAATTAGCGAGCCCAAGGAATTGGCGCAGATCCTTCACATTACGTGGGACTGGCCATTCCTTTACAGCCTTTACTTTTTCTGGGTCTGCTCGTACACCATGTGCACCTACGATGCAGCCCAGCACAGGTATCTCGGGGACCCCTATGACGCACTTTTGCAAGTTCACGTATAATTGGGCGTCACCAGAGTCTGCAACACAGCGTCTAAATGACGCTTGTGCGACTCTATCGCGCTCAGACCGTCCTCCGCCCTACTATGCACGAATACATCGTCAAAATAATGGGGCGCATAGGCACGATGCTGACGCATCACGTGAGCCACCACTCGGTTGAATGTTGCCGGAGCATTTTTCAACCCTTGTGGCATCACAAGCCACTCCCACAGCATACCGCTTGGGGTGCTTACTGCCGTTTTGGCTGCATCGTTATCTCTCATGAGAACCTGATAGTAGCCATCCTTCAGATCCAACGCGGAAAAGATAGGTGACTTTTCCATGGAATTCAACACGACATCTTTCCGCGGGATCGGCGTTTGAGCTGGAATGGTGGCCGTGTTCAGCTTATTATAAGCATGAACCACGCGCCATCCACCCGTTGCTTTACGCACACAGAAAATCGGGCTGCAGTGAGGCGACTTGCTCTCACGTACATGTCCCGCCTTGGCTCGCTTGTTGAAGAACTCATCGATGTAATCGACTTGATCCTTCGGCAACGGCCATTGCCTGGTCACACAATACTTGGTGCCAGGCTCCAGGTCAATTTCGTGCCTGATGCCCCTATCGGCCGGTAGGCGGCTCGGCACTTCTGCTGGAAACACATCACGGTGTTTCTACAGAACATCATAAAACAGGCTGTCCTTCAAGGCATCCCAGCCTTGAGCAGCGAACCGTTTCTTTTGGTCGGTCTCCAAGACGCTCTCATCCATTGTGGATGAAGAGCAACAGTCCACCACGTTCTCTTCTGGAACTGGTGCGACTATCTCGTGGATCTTTCCTTCCTTTAGTTCGGACAGAAACAGATCCCACGTCATCTCCGAAAGATTTACTATCTCCTCGTCAGATGCCAAGAAAAGTTGGAGCACCTCAACTGAGGATGCCTCCGGCATTTTGTTTTCGACGGCCTCGAACAAATGTTCGTAAGTCCGTTCTCTTGGACCGAGACTGATCCAAGGGTCACTCGTTTCGACGTGCCCTTGATCATCTTAATACGTCTGGTGATCGTTCTTCGAGTCACCACGACCTTTGACCTGGAAGAAGGTGTCGTTGCTATCTCAGCTAACGCACTCCTTCCAACCGCACCAGGCTCTTGGCTTTGTGCCGGTTCTTGTGTCGCTTGACTTCCTGTCAGCCCACCATCAACTGCCGCAGGCTCCGGATCTATGCAGGACTATTGGAAACACGACTACTTGTCATCGCCCCATTCACTACGCCGCTCTTTTCGACCTTGGTAGGAATATGTGTCACCTGGCTTTCCGCCAGTGCACTCACAACTACACCACTCCTTTCGAGCTGGGTAGTTCCTGGTGTCGATTGACATACCTTCATCCCACCCTCGACTGTGTTGGACACAGCATCAGCCACATAAGCCTCTCGCAAGAGCACATCCTTTCCGGTGTCTTGCGTAGAGCTAGCGACTGTGCGTGTACGCCAGTCTATCCATGGTTGGTGTTTAGCCAACCAAGGCATGCCTAGGATGGGGTCATACGGACTCTCCATACCTAGCACTGTGAACTTCTCTTTACAAGAGAAGTCACTGAAACTGAAGGCGAGTTCAACTTGAACTCCCTCCGATTTAACGAGCGCGCCGTTCGCTAAACGAACGATCGCCTCTTCTCGCTTGCCATCCTGGCAAAGCGACTCATAACTCGCCGGTCTCTTTTTAGAGCCGCGAGTTTTACAAAGTTTTGTGATGCACCCGAATCCACGAGAAGGGTCATCACTTGGTCATATCCTCGTACTCGAGCGCTATAGACCAAAAGGGTTGAGGTCCGATCTTTCGGAACCTCAGGGACTATGCTACCCATTTGTTCTATCACTCTGGACTTAGGGGTAGCTTCAGAGTTCGCGACAGTAGGGCATCCCGCCCCTACTGCGCTCCCGTATTTCCCGACCCATCTTGGGCAGGTGCTGAACCCGTACGTCGTGCACGCTGGTTCTTCGCACCACCCTTCGGATTGTGAGACTTCTTGCTGGCTGCCTTAGCACCAGCAGCAAGTTTGGCATAGCAGCGAGCCATCATATGGCTTCGCTTGCAGCACTTGTAGCAGATAAAATCTGCATTGCTTAACTCCATAGGAGTGTCATCTGACCTCTCGGACGACGGCCTGTAATAGGCTGTCGCCGAGGCGCTGTTGTAGGATTGCTCCTCAACCATGGAAATTTCAATTGCCTCTTCCATAGTCTCTGGCACCTTTCTGAAAAGGGCCTGACGCGATGGGCCATGCCTAAGTCCATTCATGAACGTGGCTACCTTGATACGCTCTGGTATCGAACCCACACTAAATTATGCAGACAGCGAACGCATCTCTTGCACAAACTCTTGCAGAGAGCGTTTCGCCTGTCGTGCTCCAAAGAAGCGCGCCATAAGCAACACTTCGTTGTTAGGAGGCTGATACATGGCGCGATTATTTGTCTTAAAGATCGCTCATGATGGAAATGCGTCTGCATTAGCCATAGGCGCAGAGTATGCTCACTCTGACGCTTTGCCACGCAAGTTGAACATGGCATACGACACCATTCTGGTGTCGTTTTCGATGAGCTGCGCCACTCCACACTGTTCCACTGCTAACAGCCAGTGTACTTAAGTGTGAGGGGCAGTCCCATCGAGCTTTGGAGGGTCCGTCCGAATGGACCTCGGCTGATTAGACCGGGCAGAGAGCACCTCAACAGTCCCCTTGAGCGTCTAGTTCCGTGCCTGCTCAAGTCTAAGCTCATCCTGAGTCTTATGGATGGACTCAGCCGTAGCTTGGCACATTTCTTGCCTTGGACGCATTTCTGCGCTTTCCGAGCACAAACGCCTTAAATTGCTCCAACTGAGCAACATGTTGCTCAGGAGGACTATGCAAGAGGTTGGCCAGGGCTTGTTCACCAAGCCCCTGCTCCATATGCTCTGCCAACTACCTATGGTGTTGGGAGAGGTGAGTGAAATCACCCCAGTCCATATTATGGACTATCCACTCACTCACGCACGCACGCTCAGAGAGACGGGTAGAAGAAAGGTATACTAGTTTGACCAAGTGTAGACGGGCACTTCTACGAAGTTGCCTCGTGTTACTTGGCACACACATTCAGCACAAGCGAGGAAGCGGTTAGACCGTCTTACCTCCGAGTGCGGTGGTAGTAATTGGCAGGTCAACTGCTCAAGCAGTCGCACCGCCAGTTGCCTCTCGCTTAAGCGAGAGCGCAACGAATTCTAGTCCAAGAACTTACCGACTTCACGCGGAAGCTTATTCAGCTTCCCGTGCGCGGTATTCAGTTGAACGAAGTCTTAAGACTGAGATATATTTAGTTAGAATTATAAAAATAAAATGCTAACTAATGCTTGGCTAATTATGCAAAGATTGGATACGCGTCTCTTTAGAAGCGTATCCTTGCGTGCGAGCTTAAATCTATTTAAGCTCGCTAATGCCGTTCGTCTGGGACGCCATGATGCCTAGCTTCAACTAGCGTCATCCCCTCTCATGTGAATCCATTCATGGATATCACATTCACGAGGGTGGATCACAGTTGTGTATCGCATCCACGTGTAGCTAAAACGGTAGCCATGTACCGTTCATGACCAAACATTAGACAACAACTTTTAATGTTTACGTGTAACTAATCACCCTGTTACAATGTCCGTGATAACGAGCGTGGAGAAGCCCAACGGCGGTCCGTCCGAGTGTCTAATGTTAAACTTGACAGTCGTGCTTGCAGCCTGATACACGCGTTCCACCGGATTGACGGCGGGTTTTATTGGTCGCTGCTGCTGCTACTACCACTACTGTTGCGATGTCGCAAAACCGGCTACTGTGCTTGTGACTTGAATCTTCACTCTGTTATCTTTGAAACAACAATATCAGTTCGTATCTCTTTTAATCCTCAGATTCCTTGTTCGTCTCGTCAAACGGATCCTTCGTGTAGAAGGTACTTAGTAAATACCTCGGTCCAGCAGTGATCCAGCTCACAAATCGTGTCCATGCTTCGTGGTCTTCATCATTACCTCTTAATGTGTCACCTTTCTCTTTCGAGCCGATCATCCGGCATTTCTCGCCAGTGACGTAGATAATAGATACAGACGCAGAGCGAAAGACAAAAATTGACCAGCTGCCTTCTTTCATGTCAACGAAGTCCAGAAACAGCCGACGGGACTCTTTGAAGCAATAGAACAGGAAAATCAAAGAAAATGGCAGAAAAAGCGGCAGCAAAATCAAACGTATAGTGAAGTACGGGTTCAAGCAAAAAAAAATTGCAAAACGAATTTTATATGATACGAGTACTTATATACTTCAAGCCCCGTTCGGTGTCACTTGCCGTACTACGATCGGCGTTACCGTTGGCATCACGTTTGGCACGTCGAACAGTATCACAAGCGGCGGCAGCTTTGGCATCCTACGAGCAGTGTTGCGAGAAGCATCATCGTCGACATCACGAGTAAACTCACGAGTGGCATCAATACCGGCGTTACGTGGGGTATCACGAACACCAATACGAGCTGCATCACCGTCGGTATCATGAGTTGCATCATCTTCGGTATTACGAGATGCGTCATCTTTGTCATTTCGCACTGTGTCACCTTTGGCGGATGGAGCAGCAGCGTCGTTGTCGCTAGATACATTGTTGTCGATGTCGTTTGCTTTACCGTAAATTTCATTACCGTCAATGACCACCCTTGTTTGTTTTGCAGTTGGGGTGACGCTTCTGATTCTTCTAGTAGCCGTGAGGGTGGCGGTTGCAGTTGTGGCGATGTTTAAGCATGCGCTGCTGGATCCTCGTCAGTGTCGAGGCCACCAATGCGCGATTTGAACGATCTTAAACTCCAAGGAGGGTCGTCTAAATGGTTTCTGTCAGTGATCCCGGGTATCTCCTCACCATTCAAGATGAGCGATAACCCCTTCTTGTATGCGAGATAAAGACATTCATCGTAGTTCCGCCTCGCACGATTGTCAGCCGGGCGACCGTCATTGCCTGTCGAACTAGCTCTTGATGCTTTGCAGGAAGTTCTTTCAGCTCCACCTCCCATCGGCGCCATTCGTCCATTGTCCTCCGAATATGTTTAAACTGTTTTAAGGACGGAAACTTGAACGACATGGTTGACGCAATTGGGAAAAAGAGAAATGAATGATTAACGGACCAATAGAAAAAGGCCTTTAATTATGATCTCAATTCTTGTTACGCACTTAGCTAATACAAAAAGGCTCCTCTGAGACGTTCATTGGGAACGGACGATCAACCGTCACGCATAAAATTTGGTTTAGATAGGTGGTGGCACAGCCCATGTACTGTTTAATGACGTACTGCTCAAGAACGCACTGTTCAAGCACGAACTGCTCAAGCACGCACTGCTCAAGCACGCGCTGCTTAATGATACCAAGACAATGGTTGACATCACCACGGACGAGCGGTCTGAATAGACCTGTGCATTGATTATCTCGAACATCGTTCGTCACGAGCTTGCAACTATAGGAAAATCAACGGGGCAGAGTGTGTAAGAGTCGATGCTTTTGCTGTGTCCGCGCGCCGCCACTACTGCAGAGACCACTTGGTATGTCGCGCCGAACGCGCTTGTAATTTCTGCCAAGACTTTCTTCAGCACCTTGCACAGCGTCTCGCTGACGCTGACGCAGCTCGATTAATGCCACTCGTGAGCTTCCTCGTGATGCCGACGGTATTAATGCCACTCGTGAGCTTACTCGTGATGCTGACGATGATGCTTCCCGCGACTCTTCTCGTAATACTGTCTTGGATGCCAAAGCTGCTGTCGCTTGTGATACTGATCGACGTGCCAAACGTGATGCCAACGGTGACGCCGCCGGTCGTAGTACGGCAAGTGATACCGAACGGGGTAATGCCGAAGGTAATTCCGCTCGTGATAGTGGCTGTGATGTAGAAGGTGACGTTGAAGGTTGTATTACTTGTGCCGCCAAATTTGTTGTGGAAGGTAACTCCGCTTATGATTATACTTGTGGTGCTGGATGTGACGCCGAAGACGATGCTGAAGTTGACGTCCAAGGTACTGCCGCTTGTGATATTATTCTTCATACTGCTCGTGGTACTTCTCGTGATGCCGGATGTGGCGCTGCTCGTATTAACCTTTAGGATCCTGCCACCGCAAAATGGTGATAATGTGTTACTTTGAAAATAGTGAGCATAGAATTCATTTAGCGCATCTTCATAATTTTAATTTTTTTTATAATTTTATATTCATTTATGAATTTTCTGATAATTTTTTTTAAATAAAAATTAAATAATTAAATAATTGAAATATATTTTGAATTTTATACAATTAAATACATTGGATTATGATACAAAATACCATCTTAATGAATTTAAAACACCTTCTGGAATTTGCAGTATAAAATTATGGATTTTTCTAAACCATTAAGTATCTCATTAAATTTAAAAAATTAAAAGAAAAGGTTATAAAAAAAATTTCCTAGCTGAGAGCAAAAAACTGATACCATATTTACTTGTATTGGGAAAGCTATGACGAGAGTAAAGAAATGTTTAAAAATTGTTGAAAGACCCCTTTGGATGAACTTGCTAGCTTCTGATCCTTCAATAATATCTCAGCTAAGCTGACAGCAACTTTTTTCATGTAAGTATGCTTCGTAGCGGAGTCGCTATCTTGCCTTCTCTACAAAATGATGGTACAATAATACAAGGCGTTTTTATGTCTTAAAGAAGACGAGGAAGGGACGTGGCTTTCGACGCCTTATGTCGTTGCTGCTAAGTTTTCAATTTTAAAGTGTTTACTGTATTCGATTAACTACTCAGTAAAAAAAGAAAAAAAAGAGCTACTCGATGATATCGACCCTCGGCCTCTCTCACAACTCACTCATGGCGCTGTCCAGCACTCCGTCAATGATTTTCCTGATACGCTCGATGCTCTTTTCACCTCCTTCCACACGAGACGACATCTCAATAGTGGATGCCCATTCCTTCACAGCTCTCGCCTTCTCCACCAACGCATCGAAAGTCCCCACCTTTTCTTCACGTGCTACATCAAAAGGCTGTTCAATTCCAGCTTCTACCGGAGGCTCGGAAGCTTCCAAAGGTGTTGTAGCGCATTTTGGCACAAGATTTTTGTTCGAGGTGTCCCAGTACGAAATCAGGACGTAAATAAAATCGCTTTTATTCTTCTGTCCGTCACGTACGGAGAGCTTGAGGCGACTGCAAGCAGCACGTAAATCGTCACGTGTGAAGGCGCTTAACTGGTGCTTTAGCTCGATAGCATCTGCTTCAGGTGGAAATGCCTCCACAAACTCGATGACTCGTTTCATCTTTCTTTTAATAATTTGAAGTTTGCAGTGTCGGAATTGGAAGAATGATTGTCACTTCAACTTGCGAATTTGGCATGTTGCACTGACAATCATTTTTCCGATTCCGCACTTATAGTTTAGAAAGGTTTTGGCCAATCACGGGTTAACCTGTGTGTATTCTGGGGTTATAGGGCACCAGGCGTGCATTAACACAGTCTGCCGCCATGTTCTACGATAGAAAAAGGGCAGGCAATGCTGTTCGTCCAAGAAGGTTTACGACTGAAACGGTTTTGAGAGAATCGAACCGTGTATTATCGTCATTCCACTGTAAGACCCAATGAACATTTATTGTCGCCTACCGTGGCGGCGGCAGAGAATGCTTTGGCGAGCTCTGTAGGCGTTACTCTGCAGGCGGCGGCCCCGCTGAAGTCGATCAACGACTGCAACCAGAACGACCGAACGCGGTAATTGCCGTTTCTGTAGTTAAAGAAAGCCAGGCGACGGCATCTCCAAAACGTACCGATGGTGAAATGTGTCAACTGTGGCTGTCAGCAAGAATACGTGGTGACGGAAATTAATGATATATCGCACCGACACCACGCTGGCGCGCCCGATTTCTACGACATCAGCAAGTATGCTTGAAGGATGTTAAGTTTGAAATTGACTCGTTTTTAAGGTGTCGTATCCGCGCACACACGGATGTCAAGACGGCTTAGACAGAGCACGGCACTTGCTAGCGACTGTTCTAGTGGTTCTTTGGGAGTGTAATGTTTATGGTCATCTGCAAAAGTAGTCTAGCTTGCAGCTAAAGAATAAGAAAAATTGCGGAAAGAAGCTGCTAATAATGCCAAGGACAACAAAGTTGTACCAGATGATTACGCAGTAATTGTAGATAAAGATGAATTCAGTTTGTCTGCTTACATGAGAAAGTGGGTGCCCTGTCGAGAGAAATGGATCGACAGCTACTAATCCACCACATAGCCATCAAATTCTCACATTAAGCAAAAATTGCTGCTGAAGCACAAGAGCATGTGCAGCCCAGGCAAGACAAGCCACTCGTCATTTCGGAAATTTTATACTAACAACTTGTGAGTAATGCAGCAAAGTATGCTAACGTATTCGCGCCTAAGATGGTTTAATGAGCGCCAGAATAGAAAGTTAAATATAGTAGCAAGCCTGTTAGACCACTTTCGACGAAGCAATTTCAGATGACGAACAGAATGCTGTAGCGTCGCTGAAACCTTCGATTGCGGCTTCTTTGATGAAGGTTGCTAGTTAGGAGAATGACATGTTTTTGTCTACTCCAAAAGAATTCATCGAAGAGGCTGCGGTACCCCAAGTTACGGATAGAGTTTTGTCAGAAAGTGAAGACGACGATGAATTTGATCGACCATTCCTATGGGGACAACATATCGCTATTTTCACGTCTCTTCGATTCGGCTTCACGAAAGCATTGAGAGCTTGTAAAGGATGGTCGGTTAGCTCGGCTCTTTGCTGCGGATTGGGATTTCGAACGGCACAAGACAGCAAAATTTCATTGCGAGAAGTGCCCTGAACTTGTAAACGTCGAATTCTTAGAAGGCTGGGTGTGAGCTTGTCCGCGGATCAGCTTGTCAAGCTTTTGAGGCTAATTCGGGAAATTGTAGAGTGCACACAAAATGGCGTCCGCTGTGGAGAACGGCCATTAAAGCGTGCGCAATTTGTCTCGTCGCTAGAGCACCGCGTTGCGCTTATGGATTCGAACGCTGAAGTGATGGTAATGCTACATTCGCTGTTGAAGAGTTTGTCCACAGTGCGTGATGTCGGGTGTTTATTGAAGCAGATGTGCAGATACTGGCAGCTAGAGCGTAAAATTGCTCTGATGCAGCAGGTACTGTTATAAACGTATTTGACGACCTATACGGCAATCAGGATGAAATTTTTCTGACTTGCCTGATCTTACCTGCCGAATGGACTTCCCGTGCCGTTTGGATCAGAAATATATCGATCAGAACGGCAACCCGAAGAAGTCTCTTGCCGACGACGTTGGTGTAGTGGGGTCTGAAGAGAATGTGGACGAAGTCGAAAGTGAAGATGACGAGGGCCCATACGAAGGGGCACCGATTCAGAGGAAGATGTCGCGATTTCTGGTCGAGTACGGGATCGCAATCAGTTTATTGAAGATGAGGCGGATGTCGGCGACGAAGACGACGAGGTAGAAGAGGAAGAGCGCCTTGTCAATAATGCATCGTCTTCATCAGATAGCGACTGGTGACAAGTTGAGTGTGCTAAAAAGTTTGTTATCATTGCAAGACATCGAATAGGTCGTAGCTTGTAAGAAACCCGCTATTCAATCGTTTAAATTGGTGCTCCTTTCTGTTTTGTTTACTTATCACTACGACGAAAATATGGCGTTCAAGACAGACAAACTTGAGCTGGTCATCGCCGTTCTTAATACACGCCTCGTGCCTGCAAGTGCTTTGAGGCTTTACCTTCGCTTGCAGGAAGCACCAGACACTTCTTAGAACAATTCCAATTGAACTATAGCAACAAAACAAAATCACACGATTGTTACAGTCCTTGCCGTCCACAACATTAACGTTAGCACTGCCCTTTTCAATCAGCAGCTGGACAACTTCAAAATTTTCCTTTACGATGACAACATGAAGCGCTGTCTTCTTCTTGCTGTCAACTACATCCATCTTAGCTTTAAGTTTCAGCAGCAGTTTTAACATATCCACTTCCTCATACTCTGGACCACTCTGTAGGAAGTAAGATTGTAATTGAAGACAATAACAATTGTTGTAATATTACTTGTTTGTGTGCACGTACCAGACTCGCCTTTCTTGTTCTGGAAGGTCATGTGGCTAGCTGCGCAACTCGATCTCGAGGTCACCAATCGCTATTATATCACGAGCAGAAAATAAAAGTGAATATGCGGGATGTAGAAGAGATTCCTAGGCTTCAAGAAGACACGCCTGCAGCCCAGAGTAACTGCGCCATGATGTCAAAGCGAAAAGTAAAAAATTAACTAGAACTTTTTGTGGTATTGTATTGGCCACTTATCCCAAAGAATCGGATCGAGTTGATGTGAAGTTCCGACGGTATCCTACAACCTATTCGAACGTGATTCAAGAATTTCCTTTGATGCAGATAAACTAAACTGGTGAATGAGAGAACTATATTGAAGGAACTCGGCAAAATGACTTTGTAACTTCGGGATAAAAAGTACCTAATTTTTTAAAATTAGGTGTCACAAAATAGGGGGTTGCGACTGTTTAATAAAAACTGTTGGAGCTCGTTGAAGTTGTCCGCGTCTTGATTATCAGGAGTCCATTACACCGAAGCAGGGAACGATGCAGCAATCGCAGACGACTTGGACGTCGAGTGATGGGAAAATGGGATCTTGGAAGGCAGGGACGAGACTACAGACGTAGATAAACTATCCACGTCTACCGAAATATACACCACCGGAGCAGGCGCGCGAGCACTACCGAAGTCCATCGTCTCCTGTGACTTCATATTAAACTTTATGCTGGACACAGCGGGTGTCATACGGGTGTCACGCTCCATCTCGTAGACCATTTCTTCGGTCTAGAAAAGATCTACAGCAAGCTCGTATAACTTGAGAACGACATTAGTTCACCTTACGGCGCATGTACTTGGACCGCGTATTGTATCTCTAATCTTGTCGTGCTTTTTACGAATCTGGAGCACAACTTGATAGATTAATCACGTTCGTTCCCTATAGATCAGTCAGCTTGATCTCTTACCTCGGAAAATCCTTGGTAATTTATCACGCCGAAGTTCTAAAAGCAAATGGGTATGCGATCAAAGCGCACAAAGGCAAACATGAGTCGCTGCGATTCAAACGCATCAATAATCGCTCTTTTCTGCTATAAATTTACGCACCCAAGCAATCAATTAGCAGTAAGAAATCAAACAAGCAACACAACCACCACCTCGAGGACCTTGAGCACCAATGCAACTTCTGGTAGCGAAAAGAACAGCGTTTCTCCTCCGCAGCGAAAAAAGCGAGATCTTCTCAAGTTAGATCTGCAGGTCGCGACCTGCATTTTAGATTCGGCTGATGAACATTGTGAAATTGGACCATCCCATTCATATGGTCGTTCCGCTTAACTCCTCCAACTCGACGGCATCATCTTTAATAAGATGTAACAACAGGGTCGCCTGTAGTATTTAATGTACTGCTACTCGAGAACACATGGGGTGATTCATTCAAGAAGTGGTTGCTCGATATAGACCCTTCCTGTTTTATTAAAAAAGCTGAAGCTGGAATACGCAGTACAGTCATTATCGTTTGTGAATAGTTAAAGGTGTTCGTCTTTTGCTCAACATGTTCTGTAACAGGGTACCTAGTTACACGTAAACATTAAGTAATATACTTAATGTTCGGTCTAAAAGTATCCATGATTACTTTTGACCAGTCACTTGGGTGCGATACACAAATGTGATCCACCCTCGTGAATGTGATATCCATTTATGGATTCACATGAGAAGGGATGACGCTAGTTGAAGCTAGGCATCGCGGCGTCTCAAAAGGACATCAGTTGCGATCTTTAATCTAGATTTAAGATCATGCGACAGGATACGCTTCTAAAGAGTCGCGTATCCGATCTATCTATCTAAATATATATATATATATATATATATAGCCAATCAGTAGTTAAATATATATTTAGTTATAATTAATT